CTCGTTATTGGGAGAATCTGTTAGACCACCCCCAGCGTTATCGCTATTAGGAGGTGTATCAGCCATAATAACTTCATCTACTTCTGGATCACTGTCATCTATACCATTCTGAGTGTGGCGGCTGGATTCAGCTCGCTGATTGGACTCAGGAGGTTGAGGTTGTTGAGTTAGCAACTCTCTCATTTGTTGAATAGCTAACTTCATCTCTGTCTTCATTTCAGCTCTGATTTCTTCACGTTGCTTAGCGATTGCAGAATAAGTGTCCGAGAATTCATCCTCCGAGGACATTCCTTCTTGCATTCTTTTGTAATCTCTGCGTCTGATGGCTCCTAATTGGAGTCGAGACATCCTTTGAGCAATTCTTGGATTGACTTTTCCTCTCGGGGAAAAGTCGGGATTTGGGTCACTTGAATGCCGCTTAGACTTTCTTTTATCAGCCACGTTGATGGTGACTTCAGGGAATTCATCATCTTGGGCATCTGATTTTCTTTTGCGGAAATGTCTCGGTTTAGGCTTCGACAATACAGAGACTCTTCGTGGGATGGCTTCTCGTTTGAAACAGTCACATTCTGATAATGCTGCTTTAACGAGTCGCGCACAGGAACAATGAGAGTTTATTTCTCGAATAACTCTCTTTCGAAAATTATTCACAACCCCAACTTGATAATACGATTCATCGGTATGATTGCCAAAAAATCGTATCGTCTGTTGGCATGACCTCCCAGGTATGACGATATCATTTGGTGAATGCGTCTTCTTCTGGGGGTGTAAAACCTTGTTGGCATTCTCAGGACAATTTATTTTTGTCTTTGAGCGATCCAAGGTTATGTCGGGAGTCGCACGTCTAAAACCACCCCCTTGCGGGTACGGAGTCTTAACGGGCTCTGAATGCTGATTTTGCATAAGTCCAGACTTTGGAATCCAAACTTGGCAGAGTTTCGGTGGTTCTTTGGCCACCGTTTCCTTCCTCCTTTCTCGTCTTTGTTGTAAGAGAGCACGAGCATGAGCGGCGTTTGCACGACGTTTTTGTATGCGTTCTTTGAGGGTTGAACGAGTCCTTTTGACAATAGTCCATTCCTCCGTCGTGAGTTTAGCAGAGACATGAATGATTGGTCGTTGAGACAACTGAACCACTTGATGCCTCCTCGACTCTAAGTCCGTATGATAACGAACTCTGTCGGTTTGTTCCAAGGCCTTAGCTATTTGACGAGCGCGGCGTTGGCGTTGTCTCTGACGAGCTCTTTTCGTCAGTGCCGTTGGGCTTTGATTTGATGACTCTTTAACTAGATAAGAGTCATTATGAGCAGAGGTGTCACGAGTAAAATCCTCAGCAACAATCAGATGAGAGTCTTCATTTTATGCCTTCTTTGGCATATAAGTCTTCCTCAATTATGAGATCCTCTTGTACTTGCGAGACAATGAAGATCTTGAAGAGGATGATGAGAGATATTCCTCAAACTTGGTTTGGTCGAATTCGTATTCGACCATGGATTCAACTGGAATCTTGATCGGCTGCGACACAACGGTCTCGGCAGCGAGACCGTTGGCTCCCACTGTGGTCGCCAGCTTGTTTGCGTCAAAAGTTAACTTTGTCATGGAATTCATTATATCTTCAGTCGATTACAATAAATTCAAAAGAAATAGCCTTTTTATAAGACTTCTTTTACACAACAAAAGGAAAATTACAACTCTTGAGAAACAAACGCAGGACCGTTGTTTGGATCGCTGCTTGCGTGGGATCTTTGCCTGTGCCGGGGGTGCGTTAGCCCGTGGACCACCAAATCACAGATTCTGATCGAATCGTGAGGGGTTTATGATTCTGACTTCGTTTATCGAAGTGAGAAATTGAAACGATATCTTATCGATGTAAGATAGTCGTTCTTCTTGAAATCAAGTCAAAGCCTGAATATCAAGGAGTTGCCAGAAACTCAAGAACTCTGCTCTTTCTCTGCTCTGAAGTGCTCAAAATGATCAGCCCCCTTCAAAGAAATCACCTCGGGGTATTTATAGCCCGTTGATGAACAGTGCTCGCGAGACAGCATTTGCTGTCTCGGCGGGCGAGACAGTGTTTGCTGTCTCGCCCAGCGAGACAGTGTAAAGTCTGTCTCGCCCGCGAGACAGTAAAGACTGTCTCGCACGGCGAGACAGTCAAATCTGTCTCGCGTGCGAGACAGTAAAGACTGTCTCGCGTACGAGATAGTCTATACTTGTGTTCTTTTTGACATTTTGGATAATCTCCTTCTGAGCTGTATTTGGATATCTTTCAGCATTTTTTAACGCCTACACATAGTTATTAGAAGAATTTTCAAAATGTCTGTCATGTTAATGATTGTAAATGTAAATACCAAAAGTCCTTAACAGATTAGACAGATTGGGATTTTAGTGAGATATTAGCTAAGTAGGTAATATTCTTGTCATAACTAAATGAGATCAAAATCCAAACTTTTTCATACCTAGTTTAATTTACCCTAGTTTAATCTACCCTCAAATGTTAATCTACCCTAGTTTAATTTTAATATGAGCATGGTTTAACTAAATGAGATCAAAATCCAAACTTTTTCATACCTATGACTGTTATATAATTATTTTGGAGGTAAAAAAAATGCTAAATTAGCAAAATTTAGCAATCATAGCAAAATTAGCAAAATGAGATCAAATGGGTCTCCCTCAAATCACAAACTAAGCAAGATCCACAAATCACAAAAAATAAAAAAAAGATCAAATGAGTCTCCCTCAAATCATAAACTAAGCAAGACCCACAAATCAAAATCCAAACTTTTTCATACCTATGACTGTTATATAATTATTTTGGAGGTAAAAAAAATGCTAAATTAGCAAAATTTGGCAATCATAGCAAAATTAGCAAAATGAGATCAAACGGGTCTCCCTCAAATCACAAACTAAGCAAGACCCACAAATCACAAAAAATAAAAAAAGATCAAATGGGTCTCCCTCAAATCATAAACTAAGCAAGACCCACAAATCAAAATCCAAACTTTTTCATACCTATGACTGTTATATAATCATTTTGAAGGTAAAAAAAAAAGCTAAATTAGCAAAAATTGGCAATCGGATGGGGATTTCACCTGAGAACTAGTCGTGGCGGGGTTGAGTGCTCGCGTCGACTGCTAGGAGGCGGAGAGAGGAACTTCGGTGCTCGCGTCAGCTGCAGGGAGGCGGAGAGAGGAACTGGGTG